ACCCCACTGATGTCGTTGTGTCCCTCAGCAAGACACTTCACCCCAAATTGCTCCTGTGGGGATTGCCCACAGTATTGAGTATACTAAGTCGCTTTGGATAAAAGCGTCTAACAAGTAACATGTAATGTAACATGAAAGTGATTTTTGATGAGTTTTCTTTGTTTAATATCATAAAATGCTGAGTCTTACTTCTTCCGTACTTTTTGTTTTTTTTAGTAAAAGACACATGAAAAGTGATACAAATTCATAGGAAAGAAAATATCAGATTAAGATATTTTCTAATCATTTTTTGTTATATTTCAAAGATTTGTTTTCCCTCCATGCCATTGTTTTAGTAACAACAGTCTCCCTAAGGGATGATGTGATAGCAACAGGAGGTGCTGTGATTGGATAGTTTGAAAACTCGGAGGACATATTTTCTTAACTCCACCACATAGGTTTTCTTTGTTCTTTACTTTCAACAAGGAGATCCTTATCAACCTGAACACACCCCCAACAAAGAGGCAAATGTTCCCACCCCTATTTAAGCAGCATCTCCCAGCTGCAGGGAGACTCTCATTAAGCCTCATGGTTGAGGATTTGAACCTCCTGGCACAATGGCAGTCAGCAAGCTCGTCAAATACCTTCTCTTCAACTTCAACTTATGGTTTTTCGTGGGAGGAATTGGTATTTTCAGTTTCTCTGCATTTGTCAGGATCAACAAAGCAGACTTCCAGATCACAGATGAGCTTCTCCCAGCCGTAGACCTCCTGATTTTTGTCGGTGCCATGACCGTGGCTTTTGGCTTCCTGGGCTGCTGTGGAGTTCTTCAAGAGAGCCGCTGCCTGCTAGCCATTTTCTTCAAGGGCTTGCTGGTGATGTTCCTCATGCTGTTGTCTGTAGGAGTGCTAGGAGCCATATCGAGAACTGCATCTGCCCAGGAGATGTTGAAGGAACACATGAAAGATCTGCTACCGCTCAGCAAACAGCCGCAAGATTTTCAGGCGTCGTTTCAGATTGTGGAGGTGACCGGGTTCTGTTGCGGTTTCTTCAGTGGACATCATGATTGGGGAAATGCCAAAGCGGTGCCGCCCTCTTGTAACTGCAGAGGCTTCACCAGAAACTGCACTGTTTTGGAAGAACGTAGGATCTATGCGACACCGTGTATGACGTACTATATGACGTGGTTGGACAGGGTATCAGTAACCCTCATGGGCATTGCGTCTGGATTTGGAATCTTGATGATCCTGGCCATGATTTTCTCAATGATCATGTTCTGTCAGCTGCGTGATGGAAATAAAAGGTTCTTTCTTTCTTTCTAAAGTGTTCATCACAACGGAACTTTACCTGTGTTTATCAAAGGACAAAGCATCCTGTTTGTGTTGAATGCTTTTCTACTGGGCTCTGCCTCACTTTACATTTTATTTTTTTAAAACCGTTTTTCAACAATTGTTTTTAACCTGTTTTATGCAGCTTTTCTGGTTAATTCTTTTTAATATTTTTCTAGTTCTCTACCTGTGTTTTTAATTCTTGTTTTACTTTTATGTATGCAACACGACAACAAGTCAAATTCCTCGTACGTGTAAACCTACCTGGTAATAACCCTGTTTCTGATTCTAATAAACATTTTAACTGTGGAAAAAGCAGTTTTATTAAATGTTAATTGATAAATTGTAGGTTTCTTCATATGTGTAGCAAAACTTGTGTAAATCCTCCCAAATTAATACTGTTTTGTATGTACTGCCCTTAACTAAGTGAATATTTAAAAAAGGTCGAACCTAGCTCCACCTTAAAGTAACTTACTTGTATTAGCCAACTATAAACAACTATATCTTAAAAATGCCAAAAGTATGTGAAACTGTGTGTATTAAACTGATGGGGGAGGGGGCCGGAGAGAAGGAAGTCTATGCAAAATGTGTGCGTGTGTGCAGGCTGAAAGATGCAAGATAACAAATTTGTTATTCGGAGCAGTTCGTACCAGACACCAAATCGCTGCGACAGGCCATCGTTTTTGTATCTCCCAATAGATGACCCCTCTGGGAGGAGCATCCGACACAACTCCTCCCGTTGTAATTACATGTATCCCTGTTGTGTCCTTTGTCCGGTCTCTTTGTTTTCATGCTGCCAAGATATTAAGATCTAGCAGCAATAGGACCAGAGCAGGGGTACTTTAAATTGTATTGTTGTTTTTTTACCATTAAAACAGATTATTGTTTATCCTTTATCCTGGTGCTTCGAATTCCTTCTTTTATAATTTAACCAGCTCATCAAGGGACGTTCGGAGCCGAGGTGGGCTTCAGACCACCGTCCTCAGCGCTCCAACACTGTATATGTATTTGTTACATTTGAATGATTTCCTGTCCCTCTTTCTTTTTTTTCTTTAAACTTTATTTTAAACTATTTGGGCAGTACATAATATACACAGGTTACATTAATAATACACATAACACACAATGCATAAATATATAAATAACATAAACAGAGAGCACGTCTATATTCCAGTGAGACTCAGTTCGGTCACAGACTCAACATTTGTCCAGGGTTTTTCTTCTTAGTTTGTTGATAAGTTGTCCCACATAAGGCGACCTTTTATGGCACATGTTTGCTCTTTATCTATTATTTGATCTAGTATATCTGTTAATCTATTCATTATTATTTGTGCTAGTATCTTATAATCAGTATTCATTATAGTTAAATGTCTGTAATTATCTATATCACATTCTTATCTATGTCTTCTGATACTGGATTAAAATCCCCACCTAATATCCGCCCTTGCAAAAAAAAAATCCTGGGATTATGTCCCTTCTTCTAATAATAGTTATGTCTTTTTCTTTGAAGAAAATACCAACTCCGTCAGCTCTATTCTCTCAGATGGATATAATACTTTTTCCTTTATGCCACATTTTACACACATCAGCATCACTGGTGGTAATCAGTCTAAGTTCTCGCGTAAAGAGGAATAAATAATTAGTGTTTAATAAATATTTAATTTTCCTTTGTCGAAAGTCTTTTAGACTGAACACCACGTGTATTCCAGGTAGCGACATTTAAGAAGCTCATATTGGTTTATAAAATGAACCATGGTGATTTATTTACATTTGCCCGTTTTTCCTTTAAGTTCAAGTTTCTACTTGCAGGTCTCTTTTTTGAGACCTCAGACGGGGCTTCCCCCTGAGCCTCCCTCGGTCGGGGGGTCTGGATATTCCGGAGTTGGTGAGAAGGACCCCGAGTTACTCTCAGGGGGCGAGTAGAGGGGAATGCTGACTCGCTGACCAGCTGTAAGGCTGACAGGGCTGGAATCAGAGCTTGGGCTTTCACTGTCAGAACTGTACTCACTCTCTACATCACTGTCAATGATTAATCTACCCTCACCTGACCGGGATGGACAGTCGTCTTTAGGAGTTGAAGGTTGTTGATCATCAGGGAGAGGGAGATCCTTGCTGGCAGGACGACGATCAGGCTGCTGCTGGGCTGCTGGATGAGGACCAGGACCAGGCTGCTGCTGGGCTGAAGGACGAGGACCAGGCTGCTTCTGGGCTGAAGGACGAGGACCAGGACCAGGCTGCTTCTGGGAAGGACGAGGACCAGGCTGCTTCTGGGCTGAAGGACGAGGACCAGGACCAGGCTGCTTCTGGGCAGAAGGACGAGGACCAGGACCAGGCTGGGCAGAAGGACGAGGACCAGGCTGCTGCTGCTGGGCAGAAGGACGAGGACCAGGCTGCTTCTGGGCTGAAGGACGAGGACCAGGACCAGGCTGCTTCTGGGCTGAAGGACGAGGACCAGGACCAGGCGGCTTCTGGGCTGAAGGACGAGGACCAGAATGTTTTTAATGTATTTATTGTCAAAGCATTTCATATATTCATTGCTATCGGGATGTTAAGAGCATTCCATGGAATATAACAAAAAACGTTTCTGAAATAAATTACATACCCCACCTTTAATCTTTTTACTTTCATTCTTGTTTGTTTTTTTAAAGTAATGGCCACATGAAAAGTAATACATATTCAAAGGAAAATAACCTTTGGATTTAGATATTTTCTTATATTTATTTGTTACATTTGAATGATTTCCTGTCCCTCCATGCCATGACATTGTTTGAGTAACAACAGTCTCCCTAAGTGTTTGTGTGATAGCACCGGGAGGTTCTGTGATTGGATAGCTTGAATAATTGGGAGGACAACTTTTCTTAACTCCACCAGGTCAGTTTTCTCTGTTCTCTGCTTCAACAAGGTGATCCCCAATAACCTGAACACGCCCCCAACAAAGAGTCAAAGGTTCCCACCCCTATTTAAGCAGCAGCACCCAGCTGCAGGGAGACTCTCATTTAGCCTCATGGTTGAGTTGAACCTCCTGGCACAATGGCAGTCAGCAAGCTCGTCAAATACCTTCTCTTCAACTTCAACCTTTTGTTTTTCCTGGGAGGAATTGGTATTCTCAGTTTCTCTGCATATGTCAGGATCAACAAAGCAGACTTCCAGATCACAGCTGAGCTTCTCCCAGCCGTAAACCTCCTGATTTTTGTTGGTGCCATGACCATGGCATTTGGCTTCCTGGGCTGCTGTGGAGCACTTCACGAGAGCTGCTGCCTGCTGGCCATTTTCTTCATGGGCCTGCTGGTAATGTTCCTCATGCTGTTGTCTGTGGGAGTGCTGGGAGCCATATCGAGAACTGCATCTTCCCAGGGGATTGTAAAGAAACACATGAAAGATCTGCTACCGCTCAGCGAACAGCCTGAAGATTTTCAGCTTGCCTTTCAGGATGTGGAAAGGACCAGTTTTTGTTGCGGTTTCTTTGTTGGACATCTTGATTGGGGAAACGCCACAGTGGTGCCAGACTCCTGTAACTGCACGGACACCTCTAGAAACTGCACTCTTTTGGAAGCACGTGAGATCTTTGGGACACCGTGTATGACATACATTTTCACGTGGTTGGACAGATTATCAGAAACCCTCATAGGCATTGCGTTTGGGTTTGGCATTTTGATGATCCTGGGCATGATTTTCTCATTAGTCCTGCTCTGTCAAATAAATTCTGGACTCAAAAGTTTAATTTAAAATGTTCATCACAAGGCCTGAACTTTACCTGTGTTTATCAAAGGACAAGGCATCATGTTCATGTTAAATGCTTCTTTATTGGGCTCTGCCTCATTGTACATTTTTTTTACTGTTACATTTCTTATTAAACATTTTAACTATGAACAAAGTTTGATTTTATTCATGGAAATTGCTAAATTGTAAGTCCATAAGTTTCTTTCTTTTGTGTTGCAGATCTTACATAAATCCTCATCAATTAATACATTTTTGGAAGTACTGCACTATTATCTGTATTTAAAAAGGTTAACACCTAGCTCCACCTTTTTAACTTTAATGCATGAGCAATGACAAATCAATTTAAATGACATTATACTGTAGCAGCCTTTGTTTTCAGCAGATTGAAGTAAATGTTATTACATTTTGCTGATAAAACTTTACTATTAAGTATCATTTTCAACATGGGACTTATTTCCCCTGTTGGTTAAACGCACATGTGTGTTGGGTGGAATCAGCTTGGTGATTACATTCACCTGTCAACTCATCTGACTTCACTAAGTGGGGAGGAATCTATGCTCTTTAAAAAGGGAGGTCTGAAAAGGTTTGTAAACAACACAGGTGTTGATTTTTCTAATGCTGAGAGTAAACCTTTCTGCATTTTAAAAACAAAGCATTAGTTGACTCAAGTGGGAAGATAAGGACTGCTGGTTTCAGACATGTATCCCTAGACAAATTCACACTGTTGTATTTGGATGTAACTAAAGTATATTCAGGGTAATCATACAATAAAACCAGATGCTGCAGAGGAGGAAACATTCATAAAATGTTTTTATTTCCTTTTGGCATAGACTGTCCTTCCATCCTTAAAATTCTACAGTACTGGCTACACACCCTGGCATACACTCACGGAAACTAGGTCACAAAAATGTATGCCTGGCTAATATGGTGCATAAATTCAGAACCATAAATAAAAGTGGGAGAAGACTCCAACTCCATAAATTAAAACAAAAACATTTGGAAAATCTGCACTTAAATACTTTTGAGTAAACTATTCCACGAATAAAAATGATTTAAGCTGGTAACCCTCCATTACATCAATGTTGAGCTTTGGAGATACTTTTATTTGAACATTACATTTATGAGCATTTGTTGGAGAGCAGGAGTCAATGAAATAAAAAAACACATTTGTAAACTTTCCTCCGTGTTAAGCTTTTGCTCTGTTCTGAATCACCCTGACTACCAGAATGGTCTGTTTATGGAAGAAATTGCTCATTCTTTTTCAAATCACGTTGAGTTAATTTAATATAGAAACCAGAACAACATGTTTTGGAAACCCCCCTTTTCTTAAAACCTAAAATGTTCCCTCTTTGTTCAGCAAAACATCGACCAGTTTGATATTGTAATTAATTTGTGAAACTTGTGATTTTTTTCAGTCAAGTGGTTTTTCTTGATGGATTTGGAAAGATTTCCTACATTTTATCTCAACAATTCAAGTTGGTCTTGTCGTCTTCCAAGACCCTGCCTCTCCCGTTTACTGAGATTGTTTGACATATGTTGTGACGCAAAACCACAGACTACTATTAGTATTTAAAGTACCTTCAATTACATGTGTTCTTATAATCCTTATCCACATGCCATGTTTTTTTATCATGAATTTGGGATTGAGAATATAATTTCCTAAATACAAAAAGGAGGATGTCCGATGTAACACGCAATTCTAAATAAAGGCACCGATGCAGTTTATGAAACGTTAAACTATGTGTTGCAATTATCTGATAAAGACTGAACCACTGAAGTTACAGCAAATAGTTTTCAGATTACCTCAAGTGTTAACCTCACCTCATCTACTGTATCTCATAAGCTAAAAAGGAAATTCACATTGGAAGAGTAGTAGGTTTTATTTATTTATATTGTAAAAACAAAGTGTATTAAATTATATATTTAATAACAGTGCTTTCATCAGGCCCGGTTCAAGAACAAAATGACTCAGGGTGCATCTGAGGTTAGAGAGGGTGCAGTGGTAAAGTGCTATTTTTATATATGGGGAGTGGACCTAACAAGAAGATTTTTTTTTAAATATTGAAGTTAAAAGCATGGTGGTGCACTTTGAGAGCAAAATGAAGAGATCTACGGATCTATGTGCTCTTTGCTTTATTCATGCCTTCCCAGTCCCTTATCACGTACAAGAGCATGGCGCCAGTTGTTGTAGCCAGTTGTGGTGAAGGCATCTGACTTACTTGAACCGAAATGTCTACATGCATAGCAGAAGATGGCATCTTTTTACATGAATATTCCAGCCAAGAGCTGCAAAATGAGTGCCTTACCCCACTGTCAGGCGAGTTGGGTACTTTTTTAAATATACCTGGGCAGGCTCTGTTTTGCCGAGGTCCTCTGGCACTTGTGGGCCGCTGAGGGGTGGCGGTGTTTGGGGCAACAAAGACGGCTGCTCCGCCTCCGTGGGCGAGGCGGGCAAAGCCGGCGAGTCGGGCGTTAGTGTCCATGACAGTGGCCGCGGGTAACGTAATGTCCCCATGATCTGAACTGTTATTACCTGCAGTATGCAGTGTTACTGCTGGCGATAAGGGCTGGTTGTTTTAACCATTTTCTGATGTCCATCATTGACTGCTGTATAAGCATCTTGCAGATGATGAACGTGCAGCGGCACAGATCACACGTACCTGACATGATAACGTTACTTACCGTTTAAATTGATCAAATAAATGCAGCAGACAATGTTATTTAACCACAATTATACTATATTCTTCTTATTATTATTATGTATATTATATTTTTCACTTTTCATTTTTTTCACTTTTCATTTTTCAAATGAGGGTGCATAACGACTCAACTGAGGGTGCAATGCACCCTTATGCACCCCCGTAGAAGCGGGCCTGGCTTTCATTCACCTGCATCCATTGCTTTCCCCCCCTGGCTGTAAAGGTAACACTGACATATTATCACCTTCTGAAAGTGTTTATGGGTTGACAAACTGTTGCAGATCCAGCAGACACAGACCAACACACTCATTCAAAGACCTGCTCCGTTTGTCTAATTGTTTACTTGTATATCTGGCTTTGATGCAGCAAATACTTCACTATTGAGAGCTTTCTTGTTAAAAACAGGAACAGGCAAAGCTGATGAGTGTAGTGAGAATAAACCCAAACAATAAAGTTAAGGGCCATTAAACCAAAACGGTCCTTAGAGCTTAGGGGAAATTATGCATTTGTGGCCATTTTCTGTGGATTTTTAGACCCAAGCAGCTTCTTTCACATCACACATAGTCATTTATTTAATTGTTAACACGGAAATAATGATCAGCTTGCGATGGGCGGAACAAGGCATTCAATAACTCTCTTTGAGTACAGATTGCAAACTATGTCCAAAAGACAAACAGACACATTATCCAAGAGTGACATTGTTTACGTGGTTTAAACTACAATGTGTTTGCCGTGGTGAAAGCAGTAACTAACAGCATTGTTCCATTAAAACATCATTTCAAGTTTCAATTGTTTATTTAAAGTGTTATTTTTCTTAGGACTGAATAAATACTATCCAAGCTATGGTTCCTTGGTATTATTATATTTAGTTAAGACTTAACAGTTGAGGTTGAGCACAAAGGAGCACACCACAAGCACAAATGCAGAAATCTCTCTTGTGAAATTACTCAAAAAATTGTGTTTTCAGGTAGTAGCCCCTTGCTCATAAGAATCCAGTTGAGCAAAAATGTGTCAGAGCTTTTAATGGAAGAACTGAATTAGGTTTACACTTCAGCTGACGCTCAAATTCA